AGTGGAAAACTGCTGCTGCTTCACTGTAGAGAATCAATTGGCTTTTCATAATAAGAACTACACTTGTGAGTTTTTAAGTAACACCTGGAGTCTCCAGCTTCAGTACCTGAGTTTAGGAGGTTATCATGTTAAGTTTCTTAAGTTATAAATAAATACACCTCCTCTCATGGCAGATGTGCCTTTTGGCATGTTCCCCACTGGTGCCATCCAGCTTCTGTTCTCCCTTGTGCTGGTACAGGTATTCGTGGAGCTGAAATGAAATAAATTGGTTCTTTATATTTAGTCTTAAGCATTATTAACCTCCATTTCAAGAAGAGTAATTTTTAAAAAAGTCATTTCAGTGTTTAGGTGTGTGGTATTGACCCTCGAGGGAGTGCCAGTGGGAATGGGAAGAGAAGAGGGAGAGCCTGGAGTTATGTCAGAAGGAACATAACCCTCTGTATTCTGGTAGCGAACAGAAGCTTGAGAACATGCTGTTAGAGTAACGAGGTAACTGATGTTGGCAATATTGGGAGGAAAGGTATTTTTTTTCCCCGTGATTCTTGTGAAAGTGTCAGTTATATCTGGAAATTCGATAGTATTCTTCCCTGTAATATTAGTCTTAATGTAGTGCAAGAGTGCTGCAACCATGAAGGGTATTTCTCTTTAAGCCCTCCTATCCCTTCAGAGGAAAAAAAAGAAATAATTTTGTTATTTCAGGGTTGAAGCAGAGGCTTATTTCTGTGCTCCAAACTTTTGGAGAAGAGTAAAGCTGATTTCTAGAGGCAGAGAATGAGAACCATGACAAGAGGCCAGTACTCAGATGTGTTTGTGCTTTGTCTTCAAATTGATTTCATCTATCCTTTGGACACCTGTGTCAACTTGTGGTATAACTATTTTGAAAACAGGCGTATACAGCAGGTAGGAAGTTGCAGTTATATGGATGGGTAATTTGAGTGGAAAAAATGGATATGCTGAAATGCAAGTGGGATTTAAAATTGTTCTAGGTCTACTTGAAAGACTTGTTAGAGAAGATACAAATAATTAGCCTAGAGGCAATAAAAAGTAGGGAGGCAGAGGGAGAGAGAGACTGTCCAAGAAAGTGTTGCAGAAAGGAAGACTTTGTAGAGATAAAGTCAGGTTTGTCAAAATTCACAATGAGTTAACTAATGGTATTAAAACCCCCCAAAGTTAAATATTCTTTAACTGTGTAAATAAAAAAGAAAAAAAATTAGCAAAAAAGTGGATTTGTTATGCAGCTGGAGCATGGGTTAAGAATAGTTTAGACACGGTCTCCAGACTAAAATAATAAGGAAAAAGGCATGGACTAGCAGGGTAAAAGCAAGATACGTGCTGAGAACCAGAGCATGAAATTGGGAATTTGTACAGAATCTCAGAACTTCAGTGCAGTCAAATTGTGGTTATCAGATAATCTCCGAGTTTGAGATTTGAGAAATCCTGAGTCCTGAAGGATTCTATCTTTAATGAAAAGACATTGAATTGAAGATGGTGCTGTTTGATCAGAGCGAAGCAAATTCAGTGCCTGTAAGTAAGTCAGCAGAGGGAAACTGATAATGGCATCAGCAGGGCCTGATGCAGAAGTGGTCCTAGATTCAGAAAAGATTTTAAGGGAAAAATGCAGTATAATTTGCTGTCTTACCAAACCCAGGATGTGCCTAACTAGCTTGATCCGTTAAAATAAATCTTCTTTTCCTTCATTAAGATGACCTGGTGTGAAAGTGTCTGATAAAGTGCTAATAGGAAGTCTAGAGGAGATTAGTAGAGGAAATATTAACTGAATAAGATTAATAAGCAGAAGCAATGCTTCTGTGTTGAAAGAAGTGTTGGGCTGAAGAGAGGTCAATATTGAAATTACTTTTTGCATTCTCCAAAATAAGAACAGTACTAAACAAGATGAGTTTTAAAATCAATCCCGGAGTAAGACAGATTGGTAAAATTTACTGATGAGGGAATGCTGAGAGGAAGGAGAGGGAGGAATATGATACATTACAGCGAGTGCTGAATGACTCTTGAGGTCTGGAGTTGCAGAGAAAAGAAAGAAATTCAGCAGTATTTGGAGACTGAAACAAAGAATAAGCTCAAAACTAATCAACAAACATGGTGGCAGAAAAGACATTTTCATCTGAGTTACAAAGTAATGAACACCAGTGAATGAATGTCCTTCTATTCATCCCCGTTGGAAGAGGATGGCTACAAGCTGGAGCAAATGCTGAGAAAAGTTATGGGTTAGGCAACTTCAGTGCTATCTTGTGAGAAGAGACTGGAAGCTTGGAGTCATTTGTCTGGGGCTACAGAGTTAGAGGGAGAAAGGATTAGTGGTGGTAAACTCAAATACCCATGCAGGGACCCAGAGCTTTCAAGGGAAAGGACTGCTTTGAAGCAAGAACAGATGGATAGAAATTGGTAATCAGTAAACCTGGAAATCTGATGGTCCTTATTCATAATAAGGATTCTAATAAAGCCATTCAGTTGGAATAGGGAGATGCTTTATTACTTTATTTAGGCTGGAACTTGATAACTTTGTGAAGAGTGTATGGTGTGCCTCTGATAACCCCAGAATAATTACAGACTGATGACAGTGGAGATATCTTCAAGATTTATAGTTGCATAATCAGGGGAATTTTGTGTCTGCAGAAGATTAAGCATTGTACCAAGAACAACAACAAAAAAATCTGTTGTTCTTTATAAAATTCACATTCCCTGTTATGCTACTGAGACTTTCATAAAAATTTTGCAGTTTTGTTGATATGGCAATGACAAATTGAATTCAAAACTATGCCAGTAGTACACAGCAAGAAAAGGCAAAAGAGAAATAGCAGCAGTGCAGGATTGTAGAAGATGCTGTTAGAATTTGAGGGAAAGTAGAACAAGTCTCACTTCTGATGCAAATCTTGGGAACTAAGAGCTTGATGCAAGTATGGGCATAATGGTGTCATTCTAAATTCATGAAAATAGCTTTACAAATGAAGGAGAGGCAAAGTGGGGTCAGTGCAATTCAAACACACGATGACAATTTTAGCCTAAATAGAATGCTCTTTGTGACTAGATGAATTAATTACTGTAAGACAGTGTTCTTGCTTGTCATTCTGATTCTTTCTGCTTGTTAATCACTCCTAAATTGTAGCTATTGCAGTAATATTAAGATTTATTACTTAAAAAGTTTTGCTGATCTCTTTTCTAGTTAAGTGTTTGTTCACATATTAATGTAAATGCTTTGAAATGTTTCTTACTTTACATTTCTACTCTTTGTCCTCTGTAGTACTTTCTTTCCGCCTGTTAAGTAGTATTGTTCTCCTGAAACACTGTATGACTGTTTTAAATGTTTGCTTTCATAGTCAAGCTTAATTTACCTATTCAGCAAATTTCATTACATACCAAGTCTGAGCTGAGAAGGAGATTAGTATACAAAAAATAAGTTTCAGTGGCAATGAGAAGGAACATCTGTTGAATGGTTTAGCTTATTCTTTGTGCATCTTTGGTCTCGTAGTGATTTCAGTATTTCTCTTCTTACTGTTTATTACGGTGCTAAAACATTTCGGGAAATTTCAGATCTCCTGGAGGTACTAACAGAACTCTGTTTGCTCTGAATGGGATGAAATTCCCCATCCTGTTAATCATATGGAAAACTTTAAACATGAAAACTGGGAAAATTCTTATCTAGTATGATGAGTTCTAGTATAAAGGAAAGAGAACAAATAGCAATGGGGAAATGTACATGTATTTATTTGCACAAGGAAACACTTATTTTTAGTTGTACAAGTCACTGCAATCTTATTAAGTACATTTTTTCCTCTTACTTTTTTAAAAGAGTTGCTGCTCTTCCGGGGAAAAAAAAAAAGGGAGAATTAATCTTCTATTTATCCAAACTGTTCTCTGTTCTTTCTCTGTGGTTTTTTGTTTGTTTAATTACAAGGAACATTTGCATGAAAATAGGATTTTAAGACTTGAACAGCTTCTGATGTTTTTTTCCCAGATAGATGGAGTAAACCACATTTATTGTATTTATAAACTAAAACAATTGTTTTGCAAAATTCCTTGCATGCTTTTTTTACACTGAATTGTTGATGAATATTTGAGAATATGCTTTGGAAAGGCTTCCCCTGCTTCCCCCTGGAAAATATATACCACTAATGTATATAATTCTCCCCCCCCCTTATCATATCTCCCTCAAGACTTGCCAAGAAAGTCATATTGGTAGTCATCTCACTTCTGCAGCCAGTTAAACTTGATTTCTGTAGTTCTTCCATTCTCTAAGATATGGAGCATCTTACGCTACACCATTCTTAAGTCAGACTAAAGTTTGCAAAAGTTCTTTCAGATTTTTAGGAGTTTTTTAGTCTTTTCAAAGGAACTTTGTAAAGACTTTTAATAAAGGAAATCAAGTGGATTCACAGTGAAGTGGAAATCCAGAAATAGAAATTTGGTAGGGAGGTATGCTCTGGCAAAGCTTAGTGGTGATTATCAGATGATAGAGATACTACTTTAGTTTGGATACACACTGGTCACTCTATTATGGCAAAAATAGAAATCAGAGAGACAGCACCTTGCTCTATGAGTTCTAATAGCTGAACTTGAATATTTATATCATGAATCATCAGTAAAACATTTAAAACTTTCTTGCATAATCTTCTAAAATGAATTTATTTTCTAAAATGTACATTAGGCTCTGGATTCCCAGTTTAGGTAATGTTTTGTGTTATTATTATCATGTTTAATATTGTAGTCATATTTAGTTTATACTTTGTGGATAGAAGACATGTTATTCCAACTTTTCTAAGTTGTGCTTTGATACAACAGGTCTTTTTTAGATTATTTTTGTGTATTGACTGCCTGCGAAATGTGAAAATTATCCTATAAAAGAAAGTTTAATGATTCTGTTTAGTTACAGAATAAATCATTTTACAAATTCATATTTTAAATGTTGAATACTGAACTTTAATCATAAAAGTAGTCAGTTATCTGACTGAATTTTAATTATGATTTCTATTAATTTAGATTTCGCATATTGGAAAGCTGAAAGATTTTCTTCTGCAACACAGAAAGGACTACATTAATGCTTACAGGTAAGTGGGCATTGTGTTTAAATTTATTTATTTATTTATAACTGCTTAAAAATCTGTGGGCATAATGACTAAAAACAAAACTTAGATTGCTTATGAATTGTCTTGCTGTAAGCTCCTTAAGATGAAGAATAGTCCTGTCACAGGAAGAAAATGGTCCTAAATAAAAAGAGAATCGGGATTTGAAGATTTCTGGTTCTTAGGAGTGAGTTCTGAAACAAAACAACCTGGCAGGCCGAGTCCAGCACCTTTAAGGACCTGCAGAGTTGGTTTCTCAAGTGGTTCCTGAGACAGCAGAATACTGGTTTCAGTGATCCAGGTTTTCCCTTTCACTCTGTGATGGTAAACCTGCCTGTTATCATCAAATGTACAATCAGTAGCATCATCATGTCCTGGAGCAGAATTATTCAAACTCTTTAGACTTCAGACTCTGGAATGTGAATTCCAGATGAAGGACACCATTGAGAACATGGTATGAGGGGACAGCAGCTCAGGGTTTGCTTTTCAGTGACAAAAAATGTAGGCTTCAGTTCTGGTAATTACTATTGTGTGGAGAAAGTTTTGATTCTCTTCAGCCATTAGGAAACGTTCAGAACTGCTGTATTTGCTTACTTGCTGATAGCTTTAGTAGTAGGATTTTTAGAAGATGAAAAGACAAGTTTACAGATTGGTGTTTTTAAGAAAAAATAAGAATATCTTGTGATCTGCAGATTTAACTTTCTTGGTTACTAAAGCATGTTATCCTAAGATGTAAATGTTACTGCAACTTGTATTTTGGTGAACTGAGTACAAATAAACATATCGTGTGAGAAATTGAAAACTTACTTTTTAATGAAACTCGTTAGGTGCAAACTTAGTAGTCGTATTATAGGCTGCACAATATTTCATTCCAGAAATAGAAATGAAACAGTGTAGGTAAACTTTCCCTTTTAAAGGATCTTCTGAAACTTCAAAACTTCCTGTGTTGTATTTCTCCAGTCCCTCAACACAACTGCAGTATTACATGAGGTGAGTCAGCCCTGTCTGTGTTCCTATTCTGCCACAAACCTGACTAAAGCTAAGCTGTTGCTGCGATCAAGTCAGAGAAAATGCAGTCTAAAGTCATCTTGGGTTGAAGACACCAAGTCCCAAGTCAATTTAATACCTTCCTCCAAAAGGCTTCACAGGTACCAGATAGGAACATTATCCAAACAGTTACCCATCCCCCAGGAGAAGACAACAGGAGCAGATGAGCTGTCTGCTATTCCTTAGGCTTGGTCCATACTGCAGGAACAGTCTTTCTAGGCCTGAAACAGTCTGTCACAGTAATATCAATACTATACAATCAGTGGTATCAAAATGTGTCCCTCAGTAAGTTGCTGGAAGATTTCTGGCACCTTTTTTTGTCTCCCTGAGATTTAAAAGCAGTATTTTGTTGTTTCAAAAGTGAAGCAAACAACAACAACAAACAAGATTTTGGTGTGTTTTATGAGTGCAAGGCCATGAGAGATTTTGGTGTGTTTTATGAGTGCAAGGCCATGGGAGCTGTTCGTAGTCAGTGCCAGTGAAAATGAAGCTCAAGGGTGCGGGTGTCAGTTCCGTGTGCAAGGTGTATAAGGAACTGCTTTTCCCAGCAGCAAGCAGTAGTGCACAGCTACATGTTGTGATTAGCTCTCAGCTCCTCAGTTCCTGTTGGAATAGGTCATGAACAACACTAGGTGGAGCTACTAATTTAACACTGAAATAACTATTTATTCTGTGAAAACTTCATGTGAATACATAAGCTGAGAATCTGCAAATGATTTTCAGTAAGAGCAAACAGTAACTAGCAGTTAAATTTTGGGTGCTATTTGTATTTTATTAACAGTAGGGTGCATAAAATTGAAGTGATAAGAGAAGTAAAAAATTATCCAAGCTGTTTTGGTTTCTAAAAGTTTTTTATTGTTCTTTTTGTAAATTCTCTTTTAACTAGTTAACATGGTAATTCTCAGTAATTTTCACACCACACCCCCCACCTCAGGTATTAACTGAGGAGAGGAAAAAAGAAGTGTCATTTCTTCCAAATCTCTTCTGTGATTGCAGTTGATCCTGTCCTTAATGGTCAAACTTAAAATAGATACTACTGTCAAATTCCATACTGCATTGCTTATGCTGTTTTACTTGATGGTTTCAAAGGGAACTTTAGCATCCATGCTGTCAGTCTCAGTCTTAGCAAATGCCTCTCTTACTCAAGACAGCAGTTTTAATAACTTTTCAATACTTAAGCTATGGAGAAAAATTTTAAACAATTTAATACCAAGTTTAGTTATTGGATGCCTTGTAAAACTTCTTTACAATGTGTTACATCCAAGTCCTTGGTAGCTTCTTTGACTTTCCTTTTGCAGACTGTAAATTCTTCGTTAACAGAATTTTTATTTCTGGCATACATAAAATATCCTCCTACAGAGGGGATGTCTAATTGATTTTTAGAGGAAGATTTTTAGCAGTGCAGAAGACAACTGGAAGAAGGGTTAATTGAAACTAAGGTCCTGACCCATTTTCATAGGACCTTGAATATTTAACTGAAATACTTAAATTGCCCAAAAAGCTCAAGAATTAGTGATTACTTATTCACATGAAACTAGTGAAGCAGTGATTTAAGGTTACTGACTTAGAAGCAGTTGCACCTTTATCCTTTCCTATTTATCAGGATTCAGTTGCTTTCTCTTACACCTTTGTTTTCATCTTTCTGCGATAAAGAACTTTTTCTGTTTGGTCATCTTCCCTGTTTTATCCTGTCTATTGTGATTCTTGCCTCTGGATAGAACTTCTGAGAGCTTTAGTGGTACCAGAGATGTGGCATCCTCTTTCACTGACAGCGTAAGTTATGGTGGAAAGAGAGTTGAAACTGGCCTGATAGAAAACTCTTGATTTACAGAAGGACACATATAGTTGCTCCTTCTTCAAATTTCTCTCCAAATGTATGGTAATTTCTTTTCATTTGGCTTAAAAATTAGGGGTCATATTCATCTTAAAATCTGTAGCAATAATAGTGAAAACTTGGGCTTTCTCTGGAACAAATGTTGTAAGGAAAAATTGTAACAAAACCACTGAATGAGTAGCAAAGACTGGTTGACTCGTGTTATTATTGAATACACTTGCTAAGGGAAGGACCAATAACTGTATGTATCATTGTTTCTATTTAACATTAGAGCCTTGTCTTAAAGAAAAATAACTTAAATAATTTTAATTATTTTCTTGCTGGATTCATATGCACATTTCAAACCTAACAAAGCTTTGGGTATCGTGCTCATGATCAGTGAACACATTCAGCGGCAGGTTATTTTAGAAGAAATGTGTAGCTAAATCATGGGACATTGCATCATCACTGTTCCTGCTAATAGTAGCTGTCTCTGAGCTGTCACCTGTGGTGTTGTTAACTACAGTCTCTCTCCAAGAATCTTTGGAAAGAAGTGAAACTCCTCAGTCAAGAAATGAGATTTAGGACATCTCAGAGTATTTGAAAATTAATTAGTTTCTAGTGAAAATGCTCTGATCATACTTGAAACCAGCAATGGTAAACAGTATTTGCCTACTTGTTCTTATCTGGTTTGCGGTTTATCTCAAGGGCTTCCTCACCAAGCTTTTTCAAGTAGGCCTATTAAGCTTCATAGTGGTGTTTAGAATGTACATATGGGGTGTAGTACTTGAGACAATATATAAGAAAAATAACCAAGAAGTTTTGCTTAAAACAGAACTGATTAACCTAGTTTCTAAGTTTCCTTGATAATCACAAAAGTAATTTTCAATTGATGAATGAATATGGTAAACACTAGACGTTTATATATTAGAAAATGATCCCTGCTAAATTGTGATCTTTAAGGACTTTCTCAGTAACATTGCATTTGGCTAATGCCTATCTTTTGTCAGGTAGTGATGAACAGTATCTTTAAAAAAAAAAAAAAGCCCCTTCCTGACTGTATTATAGAGTCTGAGTATCAGCAGATTTTTACTCTTCTCTCGTTAAGTGATATGCTGATGAGACTTTATTGACTTCAGTGGAATAATTTCTCATTTATGTTGCCATAGCAGAAAGATGATTAGTACTTTTCCTTTTTTGAGTTCTGTAGACAGTTAGCTGTAAGGGTAGGTGGCTATTTCTTTTGTGTCCCTTTGGTCATAAAGTGTTTCCAGCACAACAAGCTGATCACTTTTCCTGGAAAGGAGAAGGCAAAGACTCTTGTTTCCTGAAGATGTTAACAAGATGTGGGTGCTTTTTTAATTTTGCTTATTAAGCACTCTGTGATCATTACTTTCAGATGAGGATTGTTACTTACTTCCTATTTTTTAGTGTATGACTGCTGTATTCTATATATTCTCACTCTCAGACCATTTGCTATAATGCATTCCTACATTATAGGAGAATGTGCTGAGTGAGATCCTCTCTTCAGTCCTTGGTAAATTGTGTAACGTTCTGTCTGTGAACAGCATGTGCCTTTGCTTTTCATCCTTGGCTCCCTCATGTTATTGATCATTGAACCACCAAGACAATTTGTACATTTGTGTTAAATATAGTTCAGAGAACTAGCTGTAGTACCCTAACATTTGGGAATTTGAAGTTGTCCTCTTGGGATTCCTCCACAGCCTCCAGTTTCTCTGAAGGGTCTTTAAAGGTTTAGACAGTTTAAAGACCAGTAGTTACTCCTACTGTTTTAATCAGACATTGGGAAGGAACTGAGAGAATTCTAGATTTTGGCCACAGAACACCTCATACTTGAAAGGAAAATCTTTGAGAGAAGAGCTTTTCATCTGGGATTGTTGGACATCTCATTTATTGTCTTACACAACTGCAGAGATACGTATTTCATCAGTGTAGAGCAGATTGGTTCTGAGTAGAAATTACGCTTTTTCCATGGGAAAGGCTGGATGGGGAGGCTTCTGATGTGACTTCATTACATGTGTCTGTGGTCCTGTACAGCTAAGTGTTAGAACATTAATATGTTGTTTATTGCAAATAATAGATTTTTTAAAAGTTCTTAACAAAT